AAAAAAGCACTTGAAAGATCCGGATGCACAACATTTCGAGGAGGGGAAAAAATAAAATGAAAGCCATGATGATGAGGATAAACTTATCAGACGCAAGATAAACTTGGTTAGATATTAGGATATACACAATCAAAACAAATGGCATATCAACAAGTAAACTACTAGTACTATCAGCACCCAAGAAAAAACCATCTACTCAAAAAGGATCTGCAGCTCAACAAAAATACCAAATCTCAACAGCAATAAAAATTGGCACTGGATCATGCTAGCCCCTTTCTCAACATCTCCAGATATTCGTGGGAAGAAATCCGCAAAAACAACAAAGCTTCTTCAACCATAAGCTTCCACCATTTATCTAACTGCAAGAAAAATTTCAGGCTTTTACTTCAACCCCTGGCTACCATCACATCCAAGTGGTCCAGGCTACCATTGGATAAAGATCCTTCCATCCCAAAAGCTTTCTTCCCATTCCTATTGCTGTAAAGATCTTCTTGTTTATATGGATGGTGCTTGTGGGCTACCTGATGCAGATGGAGCATCGCAATCATGCTAACTGTGAATAAAGCAGCGTTGCCCAATAAGCCACCAACATGATCCAATTTGAGGGATTTCTTTGCAAATTCAAAACTCGAAAGGAGAGCTTTGATCACTGTGTTAGGCCTCTTCCCCTCACGCCTAATCAGGTTCTCACCTGATGGGCTTGTAGGAGAACCACAAAGGTTTTCAGGGGACACAAAGTGACTTGCATCATGCACATCCCCAACAAATGCCAGAGCTTCTTCAATTACTTTGTACTTCTTACCATGGTGTTCAGCCAATCTCATAGCCAGAATAATCCTGCTTTGTTCTAATCGAGCAATTGCAGCATCTATCTCAGCCCGCTGATGTATTTGTACCGTCTGCATAACAGAAGAAATGACATAATTATCCAATGATGCATAAGTATGAAATGTGAAGCAAAGAGTTCTACCAAAATAAATTGAAGCACAAGAAACAAAAGCCAATATACTTGAGGGAGCATCACTATTGGCACCTAGAACTCAACCAAGCACTGTCCCAAACATTCTTCTCATTGTAGGACCAGATGACTTCTGTTTACTGTAATCAATCTTGCGTGATTAACAGTTCTGACTCACTCAATTCTCTTTGAGACTACCAATTGAAGCTATGCTATCCCCAACATCAGCAGAGCTTATCTATCTAATTACAACTAGTCAGATATGTTTAGCCCCCCACTCCCCAGAATAACTGACCATTTGTTATCTGAAATGATTTCAGAAGGCTTTATTTGACCAGGAACTGCTCCAAAAAGTCCTTTTTGCCATTCAGATCTTCCTAGAGTTACCACTTCAACTCAGTCCTTAACACTCACATCTTCTCCAGTACCTCAATAGGTCCACTATATTCTTCTGACAGCACTTAACCCACTCAGACCCTAAAAACTAGATTCACTTTTTCAGGACAATCGATGCACCATCGACAAAAGGGAACCTACTCCTTCATTGCAACCAGAAAACAAAGCCGTGTCACGTTCTAACTATTTAGCATTCCATCAAGGACAAAAGGGTCCTCTCCTCCACACTATCTCAAAGCAATCTTAACTGTAAAATAGTTGTATCCAAACAAGATGTACACTACTTCTAGTCTTATTGAGTCTAGAAGGAACCAACACAATAATTATCAGATATCTCTCGCTTTCTCCAGTCCTTTCACATAAGTTCAACTCATTAAACACCCCACAATATCAAAGCATGTCAGCAATCCACAAGCCTTAGAACCATCTAATTACAATTATAAAATAAAGAACACTCTTTTGCCTAAATTTGATTAAGCTAGTCTGGTTCTCATAACAACCAATGCAGGCTAAATTAACAGGAAAACAAATATCAAAATAGAGTCGCAACCAGATTTATCAAACAAGGAAAATGATCAAAATCACTCAAATTAATAACAATAATTTCATGAGTTCTCATAAAATTAATTACCAAATAATCAATAAATAGACACCCAGGATCCAAATTTCTCTTCCTCCACCAATAATTTCACCAACCAATCATACCATACCCAATAGAAACCCACCAAAATAAAAACCCACAAAAAAAAAACTTCACAAATTCCCTTCATTTCCCACAAATTACTCGAAACCAAAAAAAACCAACAAATTCAAAAAACAAAACAAACAAATCCCATAGACCCAAAAACCAAACTCACATGAAAGAACTCCAACTGATCTTCAAGATTCTCGAGAGCAGTCCGAATAGAGTTAAGACTCTTAGCCTCTTGAATGGCCGACAAGTCGTTCCCATCAACTCGAAAATCCTTAAAAAAAACGAACCCAGAAGCCCGATTGTTGCTGTTGTTGTCTTCAAATCCGACATCGCTTTCGTTGTTGAGCTTCTTGTTGGTGGTGGTGGTGGTGGTTTTGAGGGATTTGATTGAGTGGAGGAAGTGAGAGCGTGAAATTGAGTGAATAGCGTCGCTCAATTTGTCGTGTAAGTCCCATATTTTTTCTAGGACAGCTTCTATTTCTTCGAGCTCCATCTCCCATTTCATTTCATTGGAGAGAAGAAGTGAAGATGAAGGGAAGAAGGTAATAGAGAGGGAAAGAGGATTTTACTTGCCCTCGAATTTTGGGTGCACTTAAATTTTGTAGGGGGGAAATGATTTTGGGTGGGTTGGGGTTAGATAGAGCCCATTTCTTTGTTTAGTCTTCGCAGCTCGCACCAAGTGCTATATTGAAAAAAATAAAAAAATAAAAAATTTAAATGAAATTATTTTTAAAATGTATATTTCACTGTAATATTAAATACACACTAGGTTTTTTTTAAATATATTAAAATATTTTTTATTTTTAATATTAACACATTAAAACCATGAAATAAATAAAATAATATATTAATTTAATATTTTTTTAAAATAAAATACATTAAAAAACAAAAGTTACTGCACTCTTAAATACTAACTTAATTATTATCTTTTACATAATGATAAATATTTTTTTAAACGGTACAATTTATATTAGAAAATTGAATTGAATTGAATTTTTTAATTTAGAATTAAATTAAAGTGAACGAAAACTTATCATTTTAATTTTAATTTAGTTTTATATTTAAGTTCAATTTGAATTAATGAATCTTAATTGAGTTATTTTTTACTGGTTTCGATTCACATTGCCTTTGTTTTATAAAAGGATATTTAGTTTATAATGAATATTTTTAATTGGTTTGGCTCAATTTAATTTGGTTTTTTAAGTTTAAAATCAGAACCAAACTGTTTTTTTATAAAAGGATATTTGTTTTTTCGATTCACATTAAAACCTTTCAGTTCGGTTTTTATCTTATGAATTATTATAGGAGGAGACTTACAGACTTATATAATGTAATGTGATGGCACAGGCTGTACAGCAAACCTAATGTGCGTTTATATTATACATTAACAAAATAATCATCGATCTATTTTGATTTCGACCGACTTTTATTCAATTCGATGAGACAATTTGTACATGGCATTGCTTCGTCCCAACCCAGCTTGTATATTGTTTTTGTATTTTATATTTTATATTATTATTATTTCAGTATAATAAATTATGATGTCAACCTATATCATGTAGTAAGGCATGATGGAGGATTACTCTAGTTAGATATATTTAAAAATCCAGGGCTATGATTAAACTTGCATTCTCAAATTAAAAATATTATTTTAGTATTTTTAATATACATATATATATATAATTACAACAAGCATTTGATATTTATAATTATTTTTATAAAATTCTTTGGATTTTGAATTGTTATAAGAATAATCGATAGTTGATTATTATATTTTATTGATATCTTATATTTCACAAACGGGGTGAATTTCTTGAAATAGTATCAAAATGATGGCATTGCTGGCAAGTAATTAAGTTAACTATGATTAACAAACATAGACTTCATGTTATAAACTTATAATTTTGCCAATGAAAGTAATTGACTGACAAAAATAATTATCTTAATATATGTCATATGTGATTGCCAAGGCTCGATTTTTCTAGAATAGGCTAGCAAAGGGACCCACATTTGTTTATAAAAAAACTTTTTTATTCAATGCTCTTTCTTCTGGATTTTTAAATTGATTTTAGCTAGTATGAGAGATTCTTATTGCATGTGTTTTTTTTTAAATATTTTTTTTAAAATTATTTTTTTTATTTTTAAATTTTTTTGATTTAAAAATAAAAATTTAAAAATAAAAAATTATTTATACATATTTTCATGCAAAATATATTTTAAAAGTAATTTATTATCACAATACTAAATAACACTCTTAACAAGAAAAAAAAGTATTTTTAGAGTTTATTTTAATTAAAATACAATCAGTTAAGAAATTGTTGGGTTGAAAGTTGTGCAAGTTGGTGGTTGTAATGGATTTAGTTTGTTTCTTTTTTATATTCAATGGAAAATTTATAATATTTAAAATAAAGGTATTTTAGTTGTTAAATAAAAATAATAGCAATCAGTAAATAATTTTATATTTTATTTTTAATTTTTTCTTTGTGATGATGTTAACACGTGTACAAAGTTCATGATGTAAATGATAGTTTGCTAAACTATACCGAACAATTACAAAATATACAAAATTTAAAAATATTAAGGGTTATTTTTTCTTAATAATATATTGATTTTGAAAATGTATTTTTATCAAAACATTGTCATTAATAAAATCAATTTTTTATTAAAAATAAATATTTAATTTTCCAAAAAAATTAATTTTTTTCACATTATTATAAAATTATGATTAAAATAAGATATGATAATAATATAAGCACATAGAATTAGAATATTAAATTAGGAGTAAAGAAATTATATTAATACAAGGTGAACTCATTAGCTTTGGAATAAGTTTTTTAATCCAGTCAAAATCATACATTTACAATATTATATTTGATAATAATAAATCTTAATTTATACCAACCACACAGCCAAAAATAAAAGTCTAATAACCAAAGCCAGACAAACCCTAAACACACACTTCCACTTCCAGAAAAAACCGTCGACCAAACGGGGCCTCAACAAAGACACGCTGTGAACATAACGCTCTCCCTCTCTTCGTTTTCCTGCTCTCCAAGGAATCAGGAAGAACACAAAAATCCCGAAAAAATGCAATCTTTCCTTAATTAACTCCGAAAGCCCATTATTTTTTGAGCACCAAACATCTCTTTAATCTATATTTTTTTTCTTCTTTTTTGAGATGATGGGGTCAGGGATAACACGAAATCAATGGGAAATAAACAATGATAGCAAGGGGCATGATTTATCATCGATGATGGTTCTTCATGGCAGTCATGACCACGGTGGATTGGCTGAGAGAGGATTCTGTGATGCACAGGTGCAACGACAATCGAATGGAGCAGCAGCAGCTGCAACAACAGCAACAGATTGGAATTTAGGGATTGGAGAAAGAGTTTTGTCTGCTGCTGGTGCTGCTTTTCTGTCTGCTATCATTGTTAACCCTCTTGATGTTGTCAAGGTAATTAATTCTTCATGGATGTATGTTTATTTATTTTTATTTTTTTTGTTTCATGGGCTTCAGTTATTTTTTGGATATTTAGGTTTCTAAATGAGGAATTATTTTGGCATTTTTTGGTTGTTGATTTATGTAAATTCTATTGGTTTTTTTTTTTATAAGATTCATTGGTGTTTCTTAAGTGGAGTGTCCTTTTTTTTCCTAAGGGATATGATTTTTTTACATTTGATGTTAGTTTTAGTAGTTCAAAAATTGAAATGCACGGTGATTGCAGAGTTATTTCATGTTCTTTGATTTGCAGACGAGGTTGCAAGCACAGGCAGCTGGAGTTGCGTACTCACACCCGCTAAGTAACATTATAAGTCGAATGGCATATTTTGGGCCAACCATGGTATATATGGACTTTTTTCCGGTATGTATAAATTGTATAACTATTTTTTTGGCACAGTCTGCGATTGATTGGGGGTTTTGGGTGTTGGCTCAGATGTTTGCTGATCTTAGGTGTTCGCCATCATGTACACGTGCTGGGATTCATGGAACAGTGTTGATTTGTCCTCCAGATTGTTTTCAGTATAAGGGAACTCTTGATGTTTTCTACAAAATCATTCGACAGGTTGGTGGTCTCGTAGTATTTTATTAAATAGAATTATTTAGTGTTATATATGGGTGAAAGAATAATAATAAAAGAAAAACTGCATGATGGGACATTGAAATCCTTGTATGTGTATTTTGCAGTGGAAAAATTTGCATCTCAGATGCAATTCATACAAGTTTGTCATCGTGTTTGGTGAGGCAGTTGCAGGCATGCATATTATCCTTTATTATTGTGAAATGATTGTGATATGCATATGCAACTCTGTGGCTTATATCCATAATGACTTTGTTGTTTTAGTTTTCTATGGCTTAAAGCACTATCAGTTGTGTAATTGGAGGATGAATTTGCAGGAAGGATTTGCGAGGCTGTGGAGAGGTACAAATGCTGGTCTGGCCTTGGCTGTGCCAACAGTAAGTCCCTCAATCACTGAGGTTATTTCAGTTGAGAGGTGGCGCTATTGTGATGTTAAAATGTTTTATATTATGTGAGCTTTCAATAATATTTATTCATAATTCTGAATGCAGGTTGGGATCTACCTACCATGCTATGATTTATTTCGTAATTGGCTGGAGGATCTAACTGCCCAAAATATTCCTGGTGCCACACCTTATGTGCCTTTGGTAGCAGGCTCATTGGCACGTTCGTTAGCTTGTGCAACTTGCTATCCTATCGAACTTGCTAGAACCCGCATGCAGGTAGAAAAAATGATACCATATATTTATACTGTCTGTTTTGTATTGGGAATGAATCCCTCTATCAGGTGCATATTCATCCATCTTTTACACGCCTCCAGTATTGTTTTGGAGGGATGCTATAAGTATGCAGATTCCAAGCTCCCTACGCTACAACTAAGAGTTAATTAGTTTCAATGTGACACTAGAAATGGAACTATTGATGTCACCTGTTCAAGTAGATGATGATTTGATGATTTACCCTTGTCGGCATTTTGTATTTTTTTTTTTTGGGTATTCTAAAATGTTGTTTGATCTCTTTGTCACCCATTGTAATCTGGATCAGTGCCATAAGTTGGAAGCATAGAATTTGAGATTATTTCTGTGTGGCTTTATATTTGTGTTTCTGTGCCTTCTCTCTCTTTTTATCTTAAATTGTTTTTATGAATGTTTGTTCTTTTATACGAATTACAATTTGGGCCACAGTTCTTTGTTCCCAATTCATTATGTGGACAGCAATTTGGCACTCACTGTTTTCCCAGATTCCATATGTACGACTAAACATAATTTCAAGGGATGTTATTTGAAGTGTTCCTTGATGCATCAATCTATTTTGTCACAGAAAATGTTGAACCAGGAATTCCACAATTTCAATGATTTAGTCTATGTTTTGTCACCCCAGACATTGTTTAAGAAACTAACTCTATACTATGAAATTGTGTTTGCTTTAATACTTGATCCTGGATGGTTGTTTTCTTTTCATGGGAGCTTATTATTTAACTTTTTTTGTTGCAACAACCATAGGCATTTAAGGCAACTCAAACTGGTAAACCTCCCGGAGTTTGGAAAACACTACTCGAGGTCCTCTCCCATGTCAGAAGTACAAACAATGTTCAAAACAGTAAGGATTCTTTTATTGTTGCATGCTTTTAGATCTTCCTTGGATTGGAAATTGAAGGTAGTGTAATAAAACTATAAGAGATGTGTATCCTGTTTCACGCCTTATCTGAAATATCACCTACTTAATGAATGACTGTGACCTCAAACTCAGCTTTGTTACTAGTAATGATTGGTGAGGAATAAAGTTTACTGGCAATCAGTATCCATGCTCGGGAGAGAGAAAAAAAAAGTCTTTATCTGCTGGTTGGCATTGGTTCATTAAAATTCATACCACTTACAAGAAACATGTGAAAAAGTCTTGAATACTGAAAGGACAATGTAGGATCCTGTCAGAAAAGAAAAAAAAGGATGAAAATGAAGGTTTGGAGATCAAAAGTCAAAACATGTCCCAGTAAATATATAATGCAGAATGAACTTGTTGTTTTGGAACTACTTATTGCTATAATTAACATGGTTTCTTGCAACAGCAAGAGGCTACCGCTTCTTGTGGACAGGCATGGGAGCACAACTTGCTCGTGATGTTCCGTACTCAGCAATTTGTTGGTCAACCCTTGAGCCAGTAAGAGCATCATCTTATTGCTTTTCTACAAATAGGAATTTCCTTTTTTGGGCTAATGGATTTCAGATGTAGTTATAGTCTATATGCTGCAGATTTTGCTGAGAAATGGCAAATTCTTTTTTCTGTTGATATAGATCAGGAGAAGGCTCCTAAGTTTGGTTGGCGAGGAATCCAATGGTTTGAGTGTCTTTGGAGCGAACTTTTCTGCTTCTTTTGTTGCAGGAAGTCTTGCTGCCGCTGCTACATGCCCTCTAGATGTTGCGAAAACCCGCAGGCAGATAGAGGTTATTTCTTCTCCCTGTCCTTCTGAACGCAATTTTAGGCAGATTTTAGCCTCCATTCATGTGTTAAGGTGTTCCATACATATTGTAATTTATGGAATGCTGGTTCTGAAGTGCCTAGAGCTGAATCTAATTTGGTTATCAGTATGGGAAGGTTTTATACCAGCTAGAGAGAGCGGAATAAGCATAAGCAAACCAGCCAACTCTGTGTTCTGTTCTATAGTCAATAATTCACTCTAACCTGCTGCTGTAATATGCCCTGCAATCCCAGGTGCTGGAGTGAGAGACTGGAGGAAGCCTCTAACCCTTCGCTCTAACCCTCTTGCCTAGCCTTTAGCCTGCCCGTTTTGACTTAATCTTACGGTAGAGGGTCATTATTTGAGAAACAACTAAAAGTAAATACTGCAATTAAATTATTATTTTGTTTCATGAAAGCCAAACGAGAACAAGAGGAACCAACTGAAATAGGTTTCAGATTGTGGCTTGGGAATTGAATTCATGCACTGCTATCTTGACCAGTGATATCTAATGAATTTGATATCTTTTAATTTTTAGAAGGATCCTGTCAGAGCATTGAGGATGACTACCCGGCAAACATTGATGGAGGTTTGGAGGTATCTTCCTAATTTCATGAATTTAGTTTTTGATTAAAACCCATCCTCTTCATTAATCAATGCCAAACTGTTGTTAGGTTCTCTTTGTAGGCTGGTACCTTGTGGCATGCAAACCACTTGATTGCATTGCCATGACAGATCTTATGAACTTTACAATATGTTAATGAATATTGATTTCATTGGATCAGGGATGGAGGGATAAGGGCACTGTTCACAGGTGTTGGTCCTCGTGTTGGTCGTGCCGGGCCATCTGTTGGGATTGTAGTTTCATTTTATGAAGTTGTGAAGTATGCTCTACATCACCGATATGCGACTTCAGAATAAATGGGGATTGATGTCCTCACAAGTTTTTTGGTTCTTGCGGGAGCAATGTTTGGTGACGGCATGGGAACAACACTTGACGTTGGAAAAACAGCCAGTAGTAGCTTATGTGAATAATATACAAGCAGAGAAGAAATGCAGTTTAATCATGTTTTAGGTGCTTTTCTCGAGGCCTGGAAGAGGAGGATTGAATCTTTCTTTTGATCATCCAATTTTGTCCATAGCGTCTACTGCTCCAAAGAAGGAGAAATTTTGATACTTTGGGAAATTCTCTCCCAGCAAATTTTTTTTCTGAGTTGAACTCAGTTTACAAACTCTCTTCCATACCTTCTTCCATCTGTTTCTTACATTTCCAGTTAGATCACTAAATATACAATCGTTGAGAATTATGAAGTGTGAACGGGAAGAACTCAGGAATTTGAAAGAATGTTCATATATCGAACACAAATGGTTATGGCTTATGAACTATGAAGTGGCTTTTGCTGGAGTCTGGCGCTGGCCTCATTGATAATTGGATTCTTCTAAATGGATTCTTATTTAGCTTCATTAAGTTGTTCTAAAATATCAATACGGCTAAATATTGTCTATTCTCTATAAAATATTTATTTAAACAAGGGCTTCCAAATACATTATAAGAAGGAAGAAGGAAGGTATAATAATGCTATGAGTGATCTAATATTGAATACCAATGATAATATCAGGAAATGTGCTTTAACATGTTTTTTTTTTAAATTATTTTTTATATGAAAAAATGTTAAATTGATTCTTATAAAATAAAATTATGAAGGTTGTGTTAAAGGGAACATCACAACCTTCACAGATTTAATGGCAGCTCCTCTTATATCGATTTTATTAAGGCAAGTGAATAAAATATTCATTTGGGCCAAAATTTACATAAAATCTAGGAGCATCCATCTTCACATGCTTAGGCAAAGAGCGAATTATTAATTATTGTCAATCTTTAACCTATAGTATGTTAGAATATTGATGTTGGTATACCAAACACAGCCCATCATGTCTTTATATTTCATTTAGAATTCATCACAATTTATTGAGAAATCAGGAAATATGAAATATAAATCTTTTTCTCATATATTCATTGTGTTTTTTTCTTCGCTCTTTTTAGCAATGAAAATTAATCTAGAATTGAAACTGTTCTTCGGTTGTAGACAAATTGTTGTAATATTAATAAATTATAAACCTATTTGATATTATAGTATAGTAGTGATTATTTTTAAAATATTTTTTTGTTTGAAAATACATTAAAATAATATTATTTTTTTAATTTTTAAAATTTATTTTTGATATTAGAAAACCAAAACAATATAAAAAAATGCTTATTTTTTCAAAAATATTTTTTAAATACAAAAACAAATAGTATATATATATGACAATTTTCTTCTGGAAGGCCGACAGCCATATATTCCTTCAAGTCTCATCAAATTACATATGGAAATAATTAGAACACACCAAACATTTTTCTTAGAAGAGAATATATCAATGTTGTCCCACATGAAAAAAAATAAAAAAAGAACAGGGGAGATTGATATGACGTTACATCCAAAATAATGTATGTGCCTTAGTTTGTTTGATGAATAATCATCAGTGAATAAGGTATGTGAGCACCAACGCCACAAGCATTAGAATACAAGCTACTCCTTGGTCTATTGCAGCGCCTGCAAACACAATAAAAGAGAGCATACAAGGGTGAGTTTTATTTATTTATTTAATTTCAGGATATTCAATAATCTTAATCAAAGGTATCTACTCTTTTAAACAAGAAACAGAAAACTAGTAGAAATGTAGTTATGATCTTGAAAAAAAAAATTCTAACATAATTAAAACACCATGAAAATTGAAACAAATGATTTGATTAATCAAATTCACAACTGAGATGCCAATAAACTTGTTAAGGGAAAAAAATCCCATATTAAAAGAAAATAAATCTGGTTTTTAATGGTTTTTAAATTGAGCAAGGAAGGGGAGGGGTGGGGGGATCAAGTTCTAAAAACAAATTTCAATTTGACAATTGACATTAAATCATGTATTAAAATAAATCTAGCAATTTAAGATTTTGTTCATTAATTTAATTTCAAAGAAAGTAAGATATTGGCGAGGAGAGACTCACCATCGCTTGTGGGTGATGGAGCTGGAGCTGAAGATTGGCCATGAGCCAAAGGTATAGAGATGGCAAAAACAATGGCAACAATGGCAGCAAAAACTCCAAATGAAATGTTTGAAACAACCATTTTCCTCTGTCTCTTCCTTCTTCGTTACTACCAAAAAAAACCCTCTCTCAAAACATAAAAAAAGATTGAGAGAAAGAGAGAGAGAGAGAGAGAAGAGACAGAGAATATTGAAAAAATCAGAACCAATATGCAAAAAATGGTGCTGAATGTAGAGGGATGTGGGAATGGTGTTTTTATTGAGAAAATGAATACATGGTTCGTCCCCATTTTTATAGGATCCAAAATGCTCTATGGCCTTCAATTTTCTATGCCATTTTCTTTATAGAAATTCCTTGCAATTCCAAGCTGTTGTGTTTCATTAAAGAAATAAAAGAAAAGGTCAAACAGGCTGTATGCCTTTCTGTTGTTGATGTATTTGGGATCTTCAATCCTATCTTTGTGTACCAACTACCACTTGAGTGATTATATTTAATTTATTGTCAATTTTTAGCATACAAGTTGTGATGATGAGTGACATTAATGTTACTAACTAATGAAGATTGATTTGAGAAGCCATTTGAGGTTAATATTAATATAGTTATGATTCAGTATTGTATAACTTGGTTTCCGACATGAAAGTATCCGTTATAATTTTACATCAAATCCTCTCTTACAACTTTAATTATAAAAAGACTATAATTTATAATTTTTATTAAACCTAATTCATAGAACTAACCATATATCAAACACGCTAAATCTCGCCCCATGTTGGGAGGAACTGGTTTTGTTAAAATTGAACATTCCAACCCTTAAGAGTGGCGGTTAAGAATAACTTAATGGCAGCCAAGTGAGTATAGAAGGTCCCAAAATACTAGAATTCTCCTCATCTCCTCCCAAGAATCTAACAAAATGTTAGAAAAAAGCTGTCAGGTTTTCCAATGGAGTAAGATATGCATGATGCTTTTCTAAAATGGGGAATTCTTCAACAATCATAACTAAATCACCCTTGCTTTTGTGTTGCTTACTCCAGGCTTCAAACCATCCATAATAATAATAATAATAATAATAATATCAATGTCTTGGTAGTTCAGGCACCCCTTTACTCACGCATCAATGATTTTGAATATAAAGATTTTATGATAATAATAATAATAATAATAACAACAACAACAATAATCTTCTTAACAAAGTACTAATTTAGTTAGACAACAAAGAAAAGGCTACTTATCATCAACATGGTATGGCACCAAAGCCATCCAAACCCATGTTTTATAGACCTAAAAAACAACATTTCAGCAGTGCTAAACCTTGCACTATTAAGACAGACTTGAGATACATATAAACCATACAAATCTGGATTTGTTGCTTGACATGTATGATCTCTAGCGAGGCCAAAGAAAAGCTCCCATGGAAAACTTCCTTTTCTGCTCAACATTTCCAACCATAGGAAGTCCATATTCTGTGAGTAAGCGATCGAGTTGCCCCTCGGGCATTGTTTCATACTCTGATCTTGAGTACCTAGGGTAGTGCAAGGGCATCTGAAACCCTCCACACCTCTCTTGCTTCTCCTTCACTCTCTTTCCTGCCCTAAAGGTAATTGATTCCATGCCCTTTCTTTCTTGCACTACATGAGCTATGAAGGTGACCCTTTATAGGGGAGCTCATGAGACTTGAGAGCGAGATTATTCAGTGAAATTCATAATACTATGTGCAATCAATAAAATCTGGAGTCATGTTAAATAGCATTTCCTTGGTCCAACGCGTCTTGTACTAACAAAACCATACCTACTTCAATGCAAGGATACCTAACATATTGTCCCTTTCCAATTCTTTCAGCCACTTGTCTGTGACATGATGGGTTGGATCTGTGATCCATAATCCAGAGCAGGAGAAATCACTTTGTGTGTGATCACTCATAAAATTGCAATCTCGCATGTTATAGCAAGACACATGAATGTATCAGAAAGGATGGTCCTTTGATTTGGGATTGCTGGAATTCCTTGTTCTTGCTCAAAACTTTGACGGACACCATACTTTCTTAAGCTTTTCCAGCTAAACACTAGACGTGAAGCCTAACCCAGATCAAACACTATACTCAAGCTTTTCTAGCTATAGTTATTAAACCCAAGTCAGCTGGGCAAGTTAGCCCATAAAACCAGAGACAAGGAACCTAACCTGGATCTGAGTTCTAGTTAAATCGAACTAAACATTCACACAGTTAAGCCCATTTAATCTAATGTCTTGTGTAGAAAAACAAAATATTGCAGTTTTAATAAAACATGGGTTGGCCCAATAAACCGAACCTTTTCCAAGTCAATTATTATTTCAGATTTAATAACTATGTTTTGGACCCTTGCTATACACAGTTTAACTTATACTTCTTAAGTCAAACTGAAAAAGAACTGACACCTGATAAAATTGGCACTTTTGATCAATTTATTGTCCAGTATCTAAGGTTTTAGCTAGGCAAGGCTTGATGGTCTAGAAATTTTAAAACCAACAATATATTAGTCCTCGCAAGCATAATGGAGGCATTAAGTTTCACTGTATCATAAAACTTATTAGCCAGCTTTAATTTTAGAAGAACAAGTACCGACAAATTTCACCAAAATTCTTGCCTTTTTTCTTCTTCCCACGTCTACTCTAGAAAATGTCCTGTAGGAAATGATTTAAGATGTTTGAAAGATAAGATACTTCTTGAACATCATCCTCACCAAACATTTAGAAACTTCCCTAATGTTAGAACTCAGAACTGAATAGCCACCCATATCATCAAGAGGTTTGAAAGTTCATGGAGAATGATAACATGGACGAGTAATACAACAAGATGACTCCAAAACACTCTCTCCTATACAAAGTCAGAAGACTCGAACCTAATTAATTAGGACTAAATATGAACGTACGTAAATTATCCAAGATAGAAGCAGTGGACATTCTACTAACACATGCAAACCTACAACGACATATTTTATATATGCTTATAAAATGATAACAGACTTCACAAAAACCAGAAGAACCAACCTCATAGAGGATGGAAAATATAATACTACTTTCTCCAGAATTTACTTATGCCAGGTCTATCATCCGTGTTAATTCTGTTTCTTCCTGTTTGATTAACTCGCCTATTTGTTTTTGTAGATCTGAAACAAATACTTAGAGTAGTGACTAGGCAGTTTTCGGCATGGTTTAAACTCTTCAGAGAAATTAAAAATATTTACCGAAGTTTGCAAGCATATCTTCCTCAAACTCCCACTCGATATTATGGTCCTTGCTCCTTTTTACTGAATAAAGATAGGTATGGTATAAAATCAAAATAATAATGCTCCATCACAAAACTCAAAAATAAAAAGAAGATTAAGAAAAAGGTATATTTTTATTAAATGTTTATCTCTAAGCTTTTATAGCTATTCTCTTTTATTTTGTACTACTAAATAATGATAAATTACAAGTTTTTTTATAGACATAAAGTTTTAAATAATCAAGAAATTAAATTAATGCAAGAAAATTATAATCTAAACAAGAATTATATTCTATCAACTGAACTGGTTGACCATTTATTTAATTTAACTGGTTACTCAGTCTTAACCAGTCGACATGTTTCCAACCGGTTGATTGATTCAATTAATTTTTAGAAATTAATTTGCTTTCAACACCCCTCCTTAAATATAATTTCTTCATAACTCTCAATGTATTTCTCATCTTGATAAAAACATAATTTCTCAATGGCTTTATGAAGATATATACGACTTGGTCTAGTGTTTTCACATACTTGACTTCAACTTTTTTGTTTATAATGCACTCTTGTAGGTAATAAAATTTATGTCTGTGTGATTACTTTTATCGTGAAATACTGAATTATTTGCTAAAGTAATAACTAATGAGTTGTTCACATAAATTTCAGTAGGTTTTTCTTGTGACATTCATAATTCCTTTAACAATCTTCTTAGTTATATGAAATGACAAACACATTATATGAAATGACAAACACATTATGTAATAGCTATATATTTAACTTTACATGTTAACAAAGTGATTATAGATTGTTTCTTTGGACTTCGTGTAAATGTTATGGCTTTCATATAGAAAACAAAATCCATAGTGCTCTTTCTATCATCCATGTCCCCAGCTAAATCACTATCACTATAATTCACAAGTTTAAATATATTAGAATAACCATAGAATAAACCAAAATTAATAGTATCTTTGATATATCGAAGAACTTGCCTCAATACTTTGAAGTGTATCATGGTTGGTGTCTTCATAAATTTACTTTCAAGTCTTACTAAAAAAAATATTCAAACGAGTGCATGTCAAATATCGTAAACTCCCAACTAAGATTTTGAATATTATAGAGTTTATCTTCTCTTTTTCATCATTATTTGACATCTTTACTTCACACTCAACTAGAGTATTTACTCTTGTATAATTTTCTATCTTGAACTTCTTAAGAACCTTTTTTTGTAAATTTCTCTTGATTTAAGAAGATTTTATCTTTTTATTTTTTAATTTCAATCCTTAAGTAGTAGGACATGAGACTAATCTTCATCATCTCAAACTCCTTGATCATTACTTGTTTGAAGTCTCTAACCATCTTTGAATTATTTTACATAAAGATCAAGTCATCCACATACATACATACAATAAGAATATTACCACTCTCTTTGATCTTTACATAGATAGCATATTTATAGGGTTATTTAACAAATCCATTCTTTAAGAAATATCCATCAATACAACTATACCAAGCCCTTGGAATTTGCTTCAATCCATACAAGACTTTGTTCAACTTTAATACCTTTTCTTTTAAGTCCCTTCACTCTATATCTTATATGTTGCTCAATGTCGACCTTCTTTTTTTAAGAAAATCATTAAGAAAAGATGATTTGACATCAATTTGATAGATTCTCCATCTATATTAGGCAGTAATGATAATGATTAATCAAATGATCTCCAATATAGTAACTAGAACAAATACTTCATCAAATACTTATTCTTTGACATTTTTCTTTTCTTTAAAGATCCATTTGACATCTATTGAATTCTTTCCTTTTGGTGTAGAAACCAATTTCCATGTATTATTTTTCTCAATTGATGCAATCTTCTCATGTATAGCAATTGATGCAATTTTTGGTTTTGAGCATGTTTCTTGCCATGTTGAGGATACTTTTATTTTCTCTCTCTATCATGCTATTTTATTATAGGGATTTAGACATTATTAGGAGTCTCTTTATACCATAATCTTCACAAAAATCATTAAAATCATTAAAAAAAACTCATCCTTAATTTATTCTAAGTGATTTTATAGAATAATCACTTTTCTTTTCAATTAATACCTTAAATTTCTTAAAACAACTAAACACATTAAACTTTTCTTTAAAGAAGTATACCCATGTT